TTCTCTGTTAAACAGCATGTCTGAAGTCATCATCAGACATGCTCAGAGCAGCCCGGCAAAATATAATTAAAGCATGTTTATCTGCATTTTAGTTGTTTTGGTTACTCACTATATACTGTAAAGTTAAGACAAAAAAAAAAACTTAAAAAGACTAGATTTATGTTAAATCCAAAGCTGAAAAAGTTAGTTCCTGGAAGTAGCATAGGATCCCATTTCTGGCAAACGGCGAAAGACGAGCGCTGAAACAGAAAGGATTTAAATGCATTTATTATCTTTATTATTAACCTTAATACAATATAGTTTAGTACGCTTACTATTTTTAAGGAGAGAAAACCGAAATTTAGGTATTTTTTATGAAATAAAATCAAGGGCCACCCGGATGTATATCTGGTTGCGCAAATGAGCTGATGGTTCGGATCGTGCTTCCGGGATCGGGCAGTGAGAGCAGGAACGGGTTTGCTAGCGTATCTCTGACTGGAGCAGAGACTAGTTTAAGCGTGAGGAGAAGGAACAAAATGAGAGGAAAAAAATTCTGTGCAAGAAGGATGAGATCTGAGAGCAGAAACAAATATTTGATGGAGAAGGAATTATATTTGAAAGAAACATTACGAGTTTTGAGTCCAACTAGAGGAAATCCTCCTCCTCCATACAATCTGCTTACCTAGTGTCACTAATTGCAGTCAGCTTCCATATGAGTGTTGTTGCTCTCATAAGCAGACCATGCTATTGGCCAAGGATTAATTAAGAAACCATGGTGATATGTGAATGTGCACGTTTCCTTGGTAGAAAGTTATTATTGTTTTATAGATACATGCAGATCTACGGAAGAGGATTAGGGCCACTGGAAAAAAAAAAAAAAGTTAACTGATTTTTTTTATTTTATTTCAGTATAGTATGGGAAAAAAGTCAGAATTCTGACTTTAATGTCAGAATTCTGACTTTTTTATCAGAATTCTGACTTTAATCTCAGAATTCTGACTTTTTTCTCAGAATTCTGACTTTAATCTCAGAATTCTGAGAAAAAAGTCAGAATTCTGACTTTTTTTTCTTGTCAGAATTCAGTCAGAATTCTGAGAAAAAAGTCAGAATGCCGAGGTTCCCCAAAATAACCAGGCTGTCCCGATGCAACTTTTTCATTTCCGATACTGATAACTTTGAGAATCTGCAGATGCTAATATTGACCCGATATGATTTTAGTACAAATCATAGCAGCTTTATTACTTATTTCACACTGTAGAATGTTAGAAAAGACTTGATAAAGTGATCGTATAGAGATATAGAAAAAAGGGTATGAAAAGAACAGACTCGTGTAAAAATAACCACAGAGTTACAGAAAGTTAACAGAAGCAAAAGGAGATGATAGAATCCGGCTGATATAATCAGATATTCGTTTTTTTGGCTAAAATTGGACCAATAACTGATATTGGAATTGAATCGGGACGTCCCTAAAAATACATTTCATTATTTCACTCTGTGTTTATTAATAAATATATAGTGTAGTGTTTCCATGATTTACCTTTATTTTCTTTTAAATAAAATCATTTATTTATCTAATAATTGATCATTTTTAAATGCATTTTAGCAGTTTAATGTTACACTTAATATTTGAGTAATATTAAAAGACTAAATAAATAAATGTTATGTGTACTTATTTTAAGTTACATCTATTTATTTGATGAGAAATTGATGTACTTCCTGATAGATTTGGTTTGGCCACCCTCACCCTGGGAGGAAGCTCCCGCTTTGGGAAGCCCTGTGCTTTTATATCAGGAAGCAGAACATGTCGCTTCGCTCCATAGAGCCTCATCAACAGAGATAAAGCGTCCTTTACTCCTTTCTTCTTGTAAACTCGGTTTGTTTCCATTTAGACGAGGATTTGCAGAACCAGGGATCTAAGATCAGCACTTTACCTCGGCTGCTGTCAGGGATTAGTGGAACGGCGTGTAATGCTACGTTCACACCACATGCACAAAAAAAGCGTCTGCTTCTTCATTTCTGAACTGCAGGCACTAAGATATTAGAATATAATAGAAATTCCCTTTAGTGTCCCACAATGGGGAAATTGTGTTGTTATAGCAGCAAAAGATTATAGCTAAAATGTTCTCATAAATGTGGTCCTTAAAAAGTGTATAAAGATAACAGAATAGGTTACAGAGTTAAAATAAAAAAATTCTATCCTTTACAATGCAGAGCAAATAGAGTAAAAAGTTTCCTTTAAAGCAAGATTTGGTTCTTAAAGGGGAACACCGTTTTTTTTTTTTTTTTTTTTTTTTTACATGGGTCCTTGATTTTCCGTTATTCCCTCATGTTCTTCTCACCCATATGAGTTTAGTGTCATTTGGAGCCTGAAGATATTCCGTTAGGTTATATCCAGGGGCGGATCTAGAAAAATATTTATGGGGTGGCGAGGGGGCAGGAATTTTTTAAGGGGTGGCAACATATGGCATTTGTTTACACTGAATTTAATCACAGTTATCACAGTTTGGTGAGAATAGTATGTACAGTAAGTGTTTCATGTGAAGCAGTTAATATTAAAAATCCATCGTACAATGAGATCTCACTTAATAGGAGATAGAAGAATGATAACACTACTTCTAGAGCGGCATTATCACAGGAAAGGTATTAAGGTAAGACACAGGTGCTGAGTCGCAGATGTGAGAGATTGACTGTCAGAGAGGCAGCTTTGCAGCATTTGCACAAGAAGAAACTATAGAAAGAAAAAGTTTCCCATCAGAGATCTATGGACTGAGCTGGACTAAAGTGAGCAGAACTACACAGTAGAAATAAATGGGTCAAGGCACCCGAACAAGGTACCAGACATCCATGTATTGTTTACTCTGAACACACATTTACCCCATTTGTTCCTCAGTAACTTGAAATACAGCAGTTATGGCAACATGAAAGGGACATTTCCTGCATCTAGATCTGCTGTAGATAGAGCTGCTGTATCAACAAATCAACAAAAGGCAGGTTCTGTATGTTACATCAAAATCTCCTCAAATCTGAAAAGAAGCAACATAAAAATACATTTTGCTTGTGATTAGGTTCATACGGGTCATTTCTGGATAGTTTCATACTATATATACAAAAAAACAACAACAACACTGCTTCATATTAAGCAGGATTTACACCAGTATCACATTTTTAACTTTAATTTTAACAATTTTGGTTTTATTAAAGGAAATATCAGATTTTCTCAGGTGCCAAAACAAAATGTAACATCTCTGTAAAGGCTCACCAGAGAGCAAAACATAAAGTTAACATGACTATAACAGCTGAATGTGGTGATTTCCATGTTGCTCAGCAAAATGCTTCACTAATTTATTTAGATCCAATGCCTTTGTGCGTTTTGATTTGAGTTCAACCAAACTTGATCGTCTCTTTTCTATCATAGTTGACCGCAAATATGTCTTTATGAGCCTGAGACGTCAGGCCGAACTAACATCATAGTTAGAGAAATAACGTTCTGCAACCTGATTTTTATCATCTCAAAATCAGCATTGCAGCTATGCTAGCAACATTGTTCTTTCATTATGATTTCATTTCTCTATAGATAGTTAATCACCAGTTTCATCCTGTGTCTCCTCTCCCCATCACCCCTGGCTCCCTCGCTTTGCCCCATTCGTTTTTCAAAACAATCAGTCTCAGTCACTCTTGCGTCATCTCGTGCTGCATTCACTGCAGTCCTACATTGGAAATTAGCGGTCTGTAATTCTCAAATTATCCATAATTTATAAGCCTCGCCATCCCTACCGCCAACTGGAGTGGCAGCAGGGGTGGCAAGGCTGTCATTTAGGGAGGCATTTGCCATCCTATGCCACCCCAGTAGATCCCCTATGGTTATATCCAGTAACGCCTTCCTATGGGCAACGACTTGAAGGCACAAACTAAACTGTTCATCATTTATTCTTTATGGTACGCCAGCATTCAGAACATGTAGGCCAACTACTGTCTCACTGTCCCCCAGACGTCCGCCTGATGTGTGCATGACGTCATCCGCGCCGGACTGGAGTAGTGACAGGCAGCCCGGGCCACAGGCAGCTACGCTCTACCCCTTCTATTCATTCTAGCTAATCTGAATCGTTCAATTCCATCTGGAGAGCGAGATCATCTGTGGTAGCAGCACTAGACATCTTCCAGGCATGTGAGGAAAACTAGCAGCAGTTCAGCGGACAGGATGAATGAACGGTAGCCGGCGTGCGCTGATGACGTCATACATGCGCCGCTTTGTTTTTAAAAGATATAAATATAAAAAATATAACGGCAGATGTCTGGGGGACATGTTCCATGTTCTGAATGCTGGCGTACCATAAAGAATAAATGATGAACAGTTTAGTTTGTGTCTTCAACTCGTTGCCCATAGGAAGACGTTACTTGGATATAACCTAATGGAATATCTTCAGTACAGCTCCAAATGACACTAAACTCATATGGGTGAGTAGAACATGATGGAATAACGGAAAATCAAGGAGCCAATGGAAAAAAAAAAAAAAAAAAAAAACAGCATTCCCCTTTAAGAACCAAATCTTGCTTTAAAGAACTTCAAAGCAAGAACTTTGATCCTTCTGCAGGGTCTTCATGATGCCTGATCTCTAAAAGACCTTCAGATCTTTCCATAACAGCTGGATTTAACACTGAGATGAAATTAACCACCAGATGAATCTTTTTATTTATGTTTTTCCCATCAGGTGATTGGTTGAACTGGGTTCTATTCGGGGGTGAACTACCAACAGAAGCTAACTTCTAATTCAGATTTGAACAGTTTTCTTTCTCAAAGAAGAAAATAAAAATGGCGCATCCTCTTCCTCTTCCATCACAGTCTCGCATTGCTTTGTGTCATTTAGGATCTAAAAACAAAGAGTTTTTTGGGCTTTAAAGTGAAAAAGCAGGAGCAGTTTGAAGAGTATGAATACTGTTGGAGCTTCCCATGTTTGACATGAATAATTTTTTCTCCAGCTTGTTTTTTTGTTTTTATATATGTGATGTTTTGTTTTCTGAAGTCTGGAGGCGGATGATGTGAAGGAATGTCTCTGTTTGCAGGCTGTGCTGTTGGCCGACATTCTTCCAACTCTCATCATCAAGCTTTTCGCTCCCTTTATGATCCACGTCGTACCGTACGGGTGAGACCAACATCCTCACTTCATCACATCAAGGTTTCTGAGAAAGCTTGAGATGTTTTAGAGTTCAGTCTGATGGGATGTAAAGGTTTTACTTTACTTTAGTCATCATAGATCTGCATCTTTTTAATATTTTTAATATTAGTGTTCAGAGTTGGAGGAAAAAAATCATTTTATAAGTGTGGATTTTTATTTTTAAAATATTTCCAGTTTCAGAGTTCTGTTCTGCGTTGCCATGGCAGCAACGAGTTTCCTGCTGGTGTCCTTTTCCTCTGCTGTGTGGATGAGTATTGTCGGTAAGTATTAGCGCTCCAACGCTTCTTGGTATGTGTGGTTAAACCGATCCTACGTGCAGATCTTAGATAAGGCACTTTTTAAAATATCTTTCCAGTATAAATGTTTTTCTTCTCATCTGTGTTTTCAAAGAAATGTGATTAAAATCATCTGTTTTTATGTGGAAACGCGGCAGACATAATATCAAGATAAGTCTAGCGCCATCAGTCATCATAACTCTCGGATTTCTTTTTTGATATGCAGTTCTGAAAAGAAAGTTCTGTGAAAATGTTTGATCGAAGTTTATGAGAAGAGAGCGATTTGATCTGCATGCTGGCGTTAAACCATCAGAGTCCAGTAACGATAATGACTCGTGTTCCCTCAGTGGGCACCTGATATCACTGTTAAAACAGAGACGGGGGCCCGTCATGGTGCCTGGAGGCCTGGACAACATGCCAGTGCTGATGTCCCATTATTTGCATTTTGAACGGTTGCACCAAAAGGAAGACTGCAGGAGAATTTGGTACCAATTAAACTCACAGAAAAGGAAGAGAAGCTTTGCAGACCTCTGCAGCCTTCAGGGCTTCTCTCTAAATACACTCCTTCCTGTAACCCCACGCTTGTCTAAGGTGTCCTGAACCACAGGGGCCCTTGCAGGGATTTATGTGGCTCTCAACTACACTTTAATTTGAGCAGCCATCACTGGCAGTGGAACAGATGCAGAAGGTATTTTTCAGGAAAGTGTTGTGAGTATTTTATAACGACAAGCCTCAAAATCTTATAAACCTGAAGCATTTCTCTGTCACCAACCAATGCAGGCGCTGCTTCATTTTTTATGCTTTTACAAGTTTAGTTCTGATGCGCGGCTGAGGCCTCTTTGCTGCTCTGGCTGCGTGGTCGAAAAGTAGGTCTGATGCCTGTAACAATGGCAGCTATATTTGCTGTGATCAGTGGGTGAAAAGTAGTTTTAATTAAGTCCACCTGAAAACTTCATCTGTGAAGTCAGTTCATCAACATCCTGCCTTCAAATATTATTTCTCTGGCGGAGCCGCTCAAACTGATCTGTCACCGAATCCTGTTCAACTGCAGCCTCTGGCCCGGTCGCCTCTTTGGGGTTTTCTGCTACTGTTCGCAGCGGCTGGAAGGCTTTTTTCAAGTACGTAATCCAAACTGAAAGCACCAGAATAATAACACCAACCATATTCTGCCGGCAGGTTTTGACATTTTAAGGTAATTTAGGCATTAATAAACAGTTTCAGAGGAGTGATCATAGCGCTCTGCATCAGCAGTGCTGTGTCTGACTCCCTGCCAGCTCCCAGATCAGCTTCTCTGATTGGTTGATGAGGCGCGTCCAGCAGCTAAAGTTACATTCCTCCAACTCCAGCAGCTGCTGCTTGTGATGCGCGTCACATGCCTCAGATGCTTGAAAGCTAAAGAAGCGCTGCTCCTGCTGCTCAAAATGCACCGCAGGACCTTTTGATGCGCCTCAACCTTAGACTTTGCTTGTAAACAAGGTGGCTTTTTTTTATGTCATCAAAGATTTCTGATTTTATGAAAAAACTTTATTATCCAGCTTAACCTTAATTGTTAGCTTAAATTTAACAGGGAAATGCTCAAACTAAGCATTTATTTTATCTTAAAGCACTACAGGGAACGCCTGCACTGTCAGATGCTGGAAACAAGAATAACAACAGCGTCTACGGCCAGGGCTACTTCCTGTTAGGTTTTGTTTAACCTTAGGATAATACAGGAGGGTGTTAAATCCTGCTTGGCATTTCTGCCTGTCGCACCTCCTCCGGTGCCCATGGGTCAGCTGCAGGGTCATCAGCCAGGAACCACCATTCACCAACGTTTTGCCCCTTTAATCCTGGAACGTCTCCTGGTGGCAGGGCAGTGACAGGGACGTCTCCCTGTCACCCCCTGCAGCTGAAAGATGTTATTCCCTGCAACTGTTATCTGGGGGTTAGGTGTTATTCCCCCAGGTTCTGTCCTTCCTCCGCAGCCAGAGCCAAAAGCTCCCTTTCTCCGCCTCCTCAGCCAGTTCCTTTGTTGCCTTCCTCAGCCTTCCTCCCCTGACTCCCACGTCTTTCAGGAGGCGTATGGTCGACAACCCTGTGAAGCCTCGGCATCCGACCTCTACTGGGTAGATGGTAGTCTTCCAGCCCGCCTCCCGGCACTCCGCAGCCAGCTCTGAATACTTGGCCTTTTTTCGCTCAAAGGCAGCTTCGATCCCTTCCTCCATTGGCACAGTGAGCTCAATGAGGGCTACTGCTCCTGCCTTTATGGACCACGCCACAATGTCTGGTCGGAGAGATGTGGTGGTGATTTCTGTGGGAAACTGAAGCTTCCTGTCCAGGTCAACCGTCATGCTCCACTCCTGGCCAGTAGTGAAGGGCCTTGAGGTTTCTCTTTGCTTGAAGCTTCTGATTCCTCCTTCCGCGACAAAGATGGTGGGGTCCTCTGCTGGCGATGGTGTTCGACTACCCTTTCTGCGCTCCTCCAGCACTTCTGCTAGCTTTCTCAAGACCTGGTCGTGGCGCCATCTATAGCGGCCCTGTGAGAGGGCCACTTTGCAGCCTGACAAGATGTGCTGGAGGCTTGCGTTGGGAGCATTGCAGAGTGCACAACATTCCTCGTTTCCGAACCACTGATGAAGGTTCCGAGGACAGGGAAGCGTGTCATATGTTGAGTGGATAAGGAAGCTAAGTCTTGCCTGTGGGATCTTCCACAAGTCTGACCAACTGATGTTCCTGGTTGAGATTCCCTCCCAGGTTGTCCAGCTTCCTTGCAGTCCCTGAGACACAGCCTTGATCTTATAGCGGTCTTCCTCCATCCTCATCACCTCCGCCACCACCATTTCCTTTCTTTCCTTGTGTTGGGCCTTGGACCAGAAGCGTGGTGCTTCTCCCCATCCTAGGCCTGCTCTTCCTACCTGCACCCTGCCTACAATCTGCTTGTGCTGCAGCCGGCTTACCGCTTGGTCGACCTTGGTCTGGGCGTTCCACTTGCGGCCAGTCAGGACCCTGGCATTAGCATTCCTAACCAGCTCATCTGTGGACTCCCGTAGCTCGAGCACCAACCTGGTCTTTTCTTGCATGTAGCCCAGCTGTAGCGATCTTAGGGGTAGCTGGAGCATGTTCCTCCCAAATAGGCCGGCTTCAGAGAGGCACCGTGGCAGCCCCAACCACTTTCGGATAAATGAATTGGCTTTCCCATCCATCCTACTCACGGTTGATGAGGGGATCTCACTCATTTTCAGGGGCCACAGCAGTCTCTGGTAGAGTGTAAATTGGTAACACCAGACCTTGTATTTGCCCGGTAGTTGGCTTTAGTCAATTCTTGTCAAGCCATCAGAGAGCTGCTTCATAACGGTTTTTGCCCATTTGCTTGTCAGAAAGCTCGGCAGTGTACTGCCTCCCAAGGCTTTTGATGGGCTGCTCTGCAAGGAGTGGGATCTTCTCTCCCCCGACGACAAAGGTGGTGTTGTCGTTCTGGACACCTCTCCTGAGTGACAGGCTACGGGACTTCGAGGGCTTGATCTGAGGGCATGACATCAGCTCATCAATCCTCCTCAGCAGTCTTGCTGTACATGGTGCTGTCTGAAGGAGGGTGGTGACGTCGTCCATGTAGCTCCTTAGCGGGGGGAGCCTCTGGCCAGTTGGCAGTTTTATTCCTCCTGCCATCTGCCTTGCACCGATGAGGATTATTTCAAACGCTGCTACAAACAGTGTAGGTGAAATGGAACACCCCATCGCTATTCCGACTTCAAGCCGCTGCCATCCAGTAGTGAAGTCAAGGGCACAGAAGCACATTTGCAGGTTGTTAAAATAGCTTTTTACCATGCTTCTGATGCAAGCAGGCATGTGGAAGAACTCCATGGCGTAGATGATCAGCTGGTGTGGGACAGATCCATATGCATTGGCCAGGTCAAGCCAGACGACATGCAGGTCAGTCTTGTCGCGCTTAGCCCTCTGGATCTGGTCCCAGATCATTGTGGAGTGCTCCACACATCCTGGGAACCCTGGCACCCCTGCCTTCTGACAGTTGGTGTCGATGTATTTGTTCTGGAGCAGGTAGGTCGTCATCCTTCTGGCTAGCACCGAGAAAAAGATCTTTCCCTCTACGTTTAGAAGGGCGATGTTACGGAACTGCCCTATGTCTTTGGAGTTTGTTTCCTTGGGAATAAAAACCGCTACTGCTCTTTGCCACTCGGCTGGAATGAGTTGTTTTTTCCAGGCAGTTCTCATTAGGTACCATAGCAGCTCTAGTACCTTAGGGCAGTTCTTATAGAGCTTGTAGGGGACACCATTGGGGCCTGGTGCAGAAGAAGACCTTGCTTTCTCCACAACTTGCCTAACCTCACTGAGCTTGGGAGGCATGGTGTTAAACTCAACAGTTGGTTGTGCAGGCTGCGGTAAATATCCTGGTGTTCCTAAGGGGACATTCCTTTGTGGATCGCTGTACTGCTTTCTGACATGCTTTTCCAATTGCTCCCTGGTAGTTTCAAGCTTGCCAGTCTTCTTTTCCTCCAGCAGCTGTCTGGCATGCTTGAAGGGATCCTTGAAGGAGCTGGCTCTCTCTTTTTGCTTCCGCTTGCTGCATTTTCAGATGCGCTCAGCTCTGCGAAGCAAGGCTAGTCTTTTCCTGACCTCTTCCCATAGGGCTTTCAGTCCTTCTTTCTCCACAAGAGTGGCCTTTCTCCAGCTTTTCCCGGAGTTGGCGACGCCTTTGTACCAGCTGGAGGATTTCCTTCTCTCTCCTTCCCTTCTCTCTTTGGATGGACCTCTGTCTGGAAACGATCTCTCCAAACCTGTCCTTGCAGGTCTGGTATATGATGTCCCCAATCCGATTCAGCTTGGCCTCTGCCCCTCCTTGCAGGGACTCCTGTAGGGTCTTGATCAGGTATGTGTCCAGTGCACGCCATGCCTCTGCTTCACTAGACTTTTGCCACTTGATCTTGTTCTTTCTGGCAGGTTTCTTGGTCTCTGCGATTGGCTCTGTTCTGTCTGGTGTGGTGAGGACTTGGTCTTCGTGCTCACGTGGGGACTCGTTCTCCACCAGTGGGCCTTCTTCCCCTGTCATCCTCCTGCCTTCAGCAACATTGGGTCCATTGGCTCTGTGTTTTTTGCCCTGGCTTTTGGTCCCTCTTGTCTCACCTGCTGTTGCAATGCAAGGTTGCTGCTGGCCATTCTGTCCACACTTTGCTTTCCCCTGGTAGATCTGTACGCCCCTAAACGTGGTCACTTTCTCCCATCCACATGCACACTTTCGGAGGACCTTCTCCTCATTTCCTGGTGTTCTGGGTGTCTCGTTATCCTTTTCCATTGCCGTCGTTACCATGTAGTCCATGGGCCCAACAGGACGTTGGGCCCATCTTTCATCCCGCCTCTCGGAGGGCCCACGGGTTGTTGCTTCTTTTTGTTCTTCGTAATCAGAGTTGGGTGTCTCTCTGGTGAGAGACCGGTGGGTTGGGTTACTAGCCGCCCACTCCCTGTGCGGTCTTTCCCTGCCGTCATCCAGTCTTTCCTGGATGTCCTCCAGTCTTCCCTGGACTCCAACTGCCCTATTCACAGTAGCCACTGGGTTTCCCAGAACTTCAGGATAATACAGGAGGGTGTTAAATCCTGCTTGGCATTTCTGCCTGTCGCACCTCCTCCGGTGCCCATTGGTCAGCTGCAGGGTCATCAGCCAGGAACCACCATTCACCAACGTTTCGCCCCTTTAATCCTGGAACGTCTCCTGGTGGCGGGGCAGTGACAGGGACGTCTCCCTGTCACCCCCTGTGGCTGAAAGATGTTATTCCCTGCAACTGTTATCTGGGGGTTAGGTGTTATTCCCCCAGGTTCAGTTCTTAAAACTGATGAAACTGAGAGGCTCAGAAAACAGACTGAAGCAGAAAGGTGGCGAAGTTTCTACATAAAGATGTTTGATTCTTTTCTTATGTTAATAAAAGCTCTCTGTGTTCTTATAGGAGTGATATTTGCCAGTATCAGCGCTGGACTGGGAGAACTATCCTTCCTGAGTAACTCAGTGTCTCTTCGACAGGTAAAGCTACTTTTTTCCAAAAGTTACTCAGTCAATAATCTACTCAAGTTAGTGTTGAAGTACTCACTTTTGAAAATACGTAAGTATTTAAACGTACATGCATTTAAAAGTACTTAAGTAGATTAGATTGGATGAGCTTTATTGATCTCACAGCGGAGAAATTCACTCGTCACATATTGGCATAGAAGTTAAACAAGGTGCAAACAAGGAGGAAAAAGGTGCATTAAGAGTAAACAATATATATATACAGTATATCAAGATAAATAAATGATATTTTTATTCAAAAATACAAATTTAATCTTCTAATATCAGTACTTTTCTGTATAATTTTCAGAGTACTTTTAAAGAGCCTGCAACTTTCAGAAACTTCCTGATGTATTGATGCATAGAGCTGCTTACTATAGATACTACACCACCTGGAAAGAATTTCAGCATAAAAAGGACACAAAATATAAAGACAGCTGTTTGATTATTATTTCTTATCCAAAAATAAACCAAAAAGAAAACAAGAGGATCTTGATTCTTCTCATTTTTTCACTGTGGAATAGAGGTTTAAGGTTGAATCTACGACCACATAGAAACTATAACTCAGCTTTAAGACTCAGCCTACTGAGAAACTAACACCTTAATAAAATGATAAACTACTAATAATATCTGCCTTGAGTTTCTCACTTTGTGGAACGTTATTAAATCTCTAAAAAGTGGCGTCCAGATTCAGTCCTAAGAGCTGCTATCTGCCTTGATGGAATTACATTTAAAGAAAGAAAAACAGCAACGGCGGATTATAAAGCTAAGCTGAGCCAAAAGGAAGAAAGAACTAGAAACTTCCTCGACACGGAGTGGAGTAGTAAGTCATATACGTAACCCCCCCCCCCCCCCCCCCCCCCCCCCAAAAGAAAGCAGTCAAGTAAAGCTATTCAATAAGTACTGAAATACAGTAATCAAGTAAATTTACTTTCTTTTCCTGTAGCCTCCAGGTAGCTACAGGCTGCAGGAATACATGTGATTATGTTGCTAACGAATAACTGTTAACTAATGAAGCTAATGCTTCACATACTTTCAACATGATAAAAGAATACAGCAAATTCAGCAATAATTAAGACAAACTACAAAAATATAATCATTATCCGTTTAAGATGGAAAACTCTTCTTTATATGTGTTTAGAAGTGAGTACATAATCATGTTTTTAACATATTTTTGCTGTTAATAATCAAAAAATATCTAAATAGTTATTGGATTATGAAGTAAATGGTTGGTGCAGCTTTAGTAAAAAGTTATTTATGATTTTAATCTTAACAACAACGTTCTTATATTGCATCTTGCTACATCTGCAGTGAATAAATTACTAAACCAGGATGTTTTCATGTCTTCCTACATCCCTGAAGATAAATTTAGATAAGTTTAATTAACCAGTATTTAATGCTGTATTAACTGTTCTCTGCTGTGTGTAGGTTTGGTTACAATGTTAATTTTCAAGGATATTTTATATAAACTTTCATATATAAAGATTCCAACATGAAGAGGTTAAAAAAGAAAGATTCTTTATCTAAAGCAACTTCCTGATGCAGATCAACAGAGTTTTAAGCAACAGCGCCAACAGCATCTGCATTAAAATGTCCTCAATTAGTGAGATAATATATATCTTTAGTGGATTTATTATATAATTTTATTCCCTAATACAAGATTGATTTTTTTAACCTGGATATTAAAGCTGCCAGGACTATAAAATAAAGCTTTTTTTTTTACAATATTTGGCTAAATATTTTTATTACATTTTTAGTGCTTATTTGTTGTTAAAGAACAAAGTACTGCAGCTGATTAAAAAATTAGAGAAGCAATTTCTGCAGCATTTTACTAAATTAAAACACTTAAATAATCAAAAAGTAACCATTGTTTAATTAAAAACACTCTCTAACACTAACTAGCTCAATTTAAAATGCTAAGATGATAAAAAGAAAAAATTGCTTGTGCAAAGTATATATTTTCTCTGGGCAAAATACGCAATTATTAAATAATTAACATTTTTATTGAAAATTTGGTGTCGTTTTCTCAGATGGCTAATGTCACTAATTAGCATCATTTCCAAACTTACTCTAATTAAAGGTGCAATGTTGACCTTGAATCTTTTGTACTACTGGGCATAAATTCAGGCATTAAGATGTTAAACTGCAGATAAGACACTTTATTTTAGAACATTTCTGAATAAATGGAGGGAGACTATCTTGGTGTTTAAATGACAAACTGTTCAATTGAGAGAGAAATCCAGAAGATCCTCTCATTTTGGCTTTGAAGATGATATTTGGCTTACAGGCAGAGCGCTTTGACTGAAAGATTAAAACCCAAAACACACCAAGCGGCCGCGGCTGCATCATGCTGTGGGATCATTTCCCTCTGCTCGAACAAGGAAGCAGGTCAGAGCTGATGAGGATGGGGAATGGAGCCTAGTGGTTCAACCTACAGCGAAACATAACAATAAGAAGAAGATGTTGGTTTCTGGGGGAGATGGGTAATCCCACCCATTCATGAAGAAGAGTTTTTAAGTTGCCATAGAAAATCAGAGGATGTTGGCATGTTGAAGCAAAATTAAAAGCCATTGACTTACCCCCAGATTCCACATCTGGTATTCATCTTTTAAAAGTGTCGTCAAGCTTCATGTCATGGTCAGTACGCATTAGCAGCATCAGTTAAAGCTGCCCCCCTCAGGCACATCGCTTCTCCTGAGGGGGGCAGCAATGCGCCCGGAGGCGCCCGGCCTGCATAAAAAGATGTCTTTGATCGCGGTATTAACCTAGCTGCTGTTTACCACCCTCCCCCCCAAAAAAAGGATAATCATGAAGAAAAAAGAGAGAAAGTCAGAATGTTTCTGGTGGCAGCAGATTGAGCGTCATGTCTGCTAGGAAGTGTGTTGGTGGTGGGCGTGAACGCAGGGAGGATCCATCACTCACCTTCTGGCTCACCCTATGATGGGGATGAAGTCTGGAGGAGAACTGACGCTTTCCTCCTGTGAACCCCCTTTATACCAAAACGCTGCCAATACGCCATTATACAGTAGCTGGAAGTTAGAAACACGTTCAGCGCTCGTCTGGAACACGTCAGATACGATGATATGCATTGGAGATTTCCATTTTTAAGGGATATGCAAGTGATCAAAAACAGTTCCTGGCCCTATAAAGGTTTAAAAGGTTCAAGGGGTGTGAATACTTCTGGAACTCTGTATCATATCACCTTTACAGAGTTCTGTGTTTGATTTGGGTTCAGTTTGACCGCTCTGCTTCCTCTCTTTAGGAATGTTTTGGAAGGCTGGGGCTCTGGGACTGGTGCTGCTGGTGTTGCTGGTTCCCTCCTTTACTCCGGCCTCATCCAGGCAGGTGTCTCACCCCAGATCACTCTCCTCATCATGCTGGTTGTCCCGCTTGTCATGTTTGCTAGGTAAGTGATGAGTAAAAAATGTGTTACCTCCATAGCAGCTCTTCCTTCACTCTGTGACCTTTGAATCATTTCTATTTAGTGGAATCTGCTGCCATGAGCAGGTGATTTTTAACCGTCATTTCTCTAAAGTTCTTTCCTGTATAAGTAGTGCACACACTGACATAGAAAAGATTATTTATTTGCTAAATGTAGTGCAGCCCTACATCTGAGTAATAATCCATAATTAGAGAGAACACATCCTTATAGATTAAAGACGTCGACATCAGTGGATGTTTTACTGCTCTTTCCGTCTGCTATTCGTTATGATTTGTTAGTTAAAGGAAAAGTCCGGTCAGCAAGAAATAATCAATGGATCATTATTTATACCTAAAACAAATACGCTTGCGGTGATTTATTAATTTAGCGTTAATAAGTTAAAAAAAAAAATATTAATTTTCATGGCGATCACTGAGTCTGGGAGCGGCCATTTTTGCCCAAATATAGTAGCCCCTCCCTCCTGCCATCTTCCAGCAGTGACGTCACGGTGCGCTAAGCCTAGCGCCATTCTCCCCGCTTTCCAAGCTAAATCAATGGGAACTACTAGACACATCTGCAATCAACAACAATTATTGAAGATTTCCAGAGGACTTCACCATTGAAATTCACCAGAGCTATAGTGAAACTGACAATGCCCACGTGCATGGCAGCTGGATGCTGGAATACATCGGGGAAAAGTGAAAAAAAAAAGAGTTATTCCACCTTTCTGATTCCTGATCCTCCACGGACGGGTTGGTCGTTGGATCGCCAACTTGAAGAGGGAGGATTTGCCATCGAACTTCTGGCCAGAGAAAAAACCCGTAATATGTAGCCAACATTTGGAAGAAGAATGTTTTCAAGATGACTTGGATAATAGCGCGTTGTGACAAACACCAGATACAGCACTGGGACTTGATCAACAGCCGATACCGCACCGTGACGTCACTAACCAGTAGGTGGCAGTAGTGTTCTTTGACAAACATGGATGCCTCCAGTAAAGCACATTCACATGAAAATTACCCTGAATTAAAAACACTTATTTATTGAACAGGATGGAATAATTTCATTCTTAAAGTACTTTAAAAAGTTTTAATTCTGAATATGAGCGGACTTTTCCACATATAGAGATACATTAAAAGGATTTAGATCAAAGCAAACAAACTTCAGTCTAACTGATAAACTGAAAAAGCTTCAGATGTTTTATGAAAAACACAGGAAATAGTTCTGTTCCTAGCAGAACAGGTAGACCCATCCTTAAAACCTGCAGCAGTGAAAGGAGCTTCTATCAGGGGTGGATATGAAAGGACTCAACACCTCTTCAAACATTTTGAAAAGGTCCCACCATCAATGTTTCTTCTCTGGCTCCATCACCAGCTACTTCTACCTCCTGACTCCGGTACCTTCTCTGCCTCAGTGGAGGAGGTCAGAGACGGAGCACCCAGCTGAGGATTCCCCGGAGCAAGAGCGACTGATAAAGGAATCCGAGGATGAGGAACGGGAGACATCAGCCTCTGGTGGATGTCCCAAACTCACAGCGGCCTGCGTTGCACCAAAAGGCCGGATTTCTAGAAATGTTGGGCGATGTTGTAACTCTGTCGCTTCATCTCTTATCAGTTTTAGCTCATTATTTAGGGTCATGTTCTAAAGCACTGGCACGTTTTCTGTTGGTGTTATTTCCCAATATGTGAGTGTTTCTATTTATGGAGGGATCACTGTAGATTTTCAGTTTGATTAGATGATAGGATTACCGGCAGCTAATCGCTAAAACTCACGCTTCATGTCGTGTGGCGTTTCGTATTAATCTGTCTCTAATTTCTTAGAGAAATGATGATGAAAATCTGCAGGTTTTTTTTGAATCACTATTAAATATTAAGTTTATATCTGGATACTAATTTGAGTCGTTTGCAGAATATTACTAGTAAGTGTGACAGATTGATGGTTCATCTATCCAGGTGTGCTAGAGAGGAGATACATCTAAAAGTTACAGGATGGTAGCTCCTAAGGACTGGACTTGAGCAGCCCTGATCTAGAGGATGCATGTAAAAGTTAATCATATTTTCTTAGAATTAAGAAAATTTGTATAAATCAACATGGTGGATAGAAACAAAAAGGATGCCAAGAATAACATAATTCCCTTTCTGGATTGTGTGGAGGCATCACTGGAACACAAACTATTATCAGATCTCTGAGTTACCGGGCTGACGATATTCCCTCAGTTAGAGACTCTTTACTATATATATATATATATATATATATATATATATATATATATATATATATATATATATATATATATATGTATATATATATATACAATGGGGCAAAAAAGTATTTAGTCAGCCACCAATAGTGCAAGTTCTCCCACTTAAAAAGATGAGAGAGGCCGGTAATGTTCATCATAGATATACCTCAACTATGAGAGACAAAATGAGAAAAAAAAATCCAGAAAATCACATTGTCTGATTTTTAAAGAATTTATTTGCAAAATATGGTGGAAAATAAGTATTTGGTCAATAACAAAAGTTCATCTCAATACTTTGTTATATACCCTTTGTTGGCAATGACAGAGATCAAACGTTTTCTGTCAGTCTTCACAAGGTTTTCACACACTGTTGCTGGTATTTTGGCCCATTCCTCCATGCAGATCTCCTCTAGAGCAGTGATGTTCTGGGGCTGTCACTGGGCAACACGGACTTTCAACTCCCTCCAAAGATTTTCTATGGGGTTGAGATCTGGAGACTGGCTAGGCCACTCCAGGACCTTGAAATGCTTCTTACGAAGCCACTCCTTCGTTACCCGGGCGGTGTGTTTGGGATCATTGTCATGCTGAAAGACCCAGCCACGTTTCATCTTCAATGCCCTTGCTGATGGAAGGAGGTTTTCACTCAAAATGTGACGATACATGGCCCCATTCATTCTTTCCTTCACACGGATCAGTCGTCCTGGTCCCTTAGCAGAAAAACAGCCCCAAAGCATGATGTTTCCACCCCCATGCTTCACTGTAGGTATGGTGTTCGTTGGATGCAACTCAGCATTCTCTCTCCTCCAAACACGACGAGTAGAGTTTTTACCAAAAAGTTCTATTTTGGTTTCATCTGACAACAGACAACATATATATATATATATAATATGTATATGTGTGTATATGTGTATATATATATATATATATATATATATATATATATATATATATATATATATATATATATATATATATATATATATATATATATATATATATATATATATATATATATATATATATATATATATATATATATATAAATATATATATATATATATATATGTACATATATACACACACACGTATGTATATATATGTATATATATGTATATATATATATATATAATGTGTGTGTGTATATATGTATATATTGCAGATTTCTGGCCGATCATCAATCTCTAAATAGGTGGACATAGAATTGTTATAAGGTCACAAATCACCTTCAGTATTTCAATGTTTACCTGTTAATCAATAAAAATATACTTAGATAACTGCTCTCAAATATGAATCAAATTGTAAAGAATTAACAGTGGGTGATTTTCAATCCAGTTCACTTCATTTCTATAGCGCCAATTGACAACAGATGTCATCTCAAGACCCTTCACAGACAGTAATGTTAGATTGGTTAAAAGTTGCATGAAGGAAAAAGAGAGGGTAAAAAATATTAGATTTGCGTCGCTTCAGGATGCTGTGTGAACGTAGCCTAAGTATTGGCTCATATAGGCATGATGTACCGCTTTCCCACTGGCTGAAAACCAGTTTAAACTGAGAAACAATAGGATTTTAGTGGCAGTGGGAACAGCTCACTGACACGTGTCTACCCAGGTCAAACAACTCGGCTTTTGTTGGAACAAAAGAGCCGGGTTGACTCGCTAATTTATGTGATACCATTGAACTCAACATACGGATGTCAACACACCGGCCCTTTCCCTTCTGATCTAACAAGCAGAAACAACTCTGTTTGCATTCGATAAACATGGAGCAGCTCTGATGAGAGGGATTTGGACAGATGATAGAACGAAACAATACTGACTACACACTGACTACACCCTGGCTTCCTCCATTGTTTACTTTCCTGATTTCTGTCCCACTGGTGACATCACCAACGAAAACCCAGCGTGATGGTGTCACCAGATATGCAGCTTTTTGATTTTTTAAACAACACTAATGGCTCGGTTTTCTGACAGCAGGCTGACAGTAAAGGGGGAATGAGAGAGGGGGAGACATGCGGCAAAGGACCACAGACTGGTTAATACCCGTTTACCCCTTTAGTTTTGAACAAAAAAAACCCCGTAAAACTACCTCAACAGGTGTGTATCCCTTTAGTCATGCACAGAAAAACTATTCAGTTACTTAGTTTTTGGTGTTTTTTGAAGCATAGGGTGACCTGACCGTAAATTTTTCTCTTTTGTACATGAATAGAGGGATACACGCCCGTTGAGATAGTTTAGGGGGTTTGTACAAAACTAAAGGGCTAAATGGGATAAACTAAAGGGCTAAATGGGATAAACTAAAGGGCTAAATGGGATAAACTAAAGGGCTAAACAGGACTAGCATACGCTTATGCAAATCTAACGTCTTGCGGAGGCATATTGACTATTGTTATGTTACTCTGATGGGGTATGCCCATCTGATAGAACAACGGTATAATTTGCATGTTTTCTAAGCCATAACAAGGCCTTGTTGGTCCACTATATAAAGCCTGGAACTCAATGCTATTTCTGACATTTTGAATTGAAAAAGCTTCCTGGATGGGAAGAGAAACGCCTTGAAACTTGGAAACAATGTCCAGTGGATTGTTATTTTATTATAATTTTTTTTTATCACTGTCTTTTTATTGAATTTTCCTTTTATACATACAGTTTGTAAATAAAAAAATATATTATTATCCAACAAAGATATAGAAACAAATACAGTAAAAACAATCCCTACAAAAAAAAAGAAAAAAAGAAAAATCCCATTCAGCCCACCCAGGTCACTACCAAGAGGTCAGCGCACTACTTTCCAATCCCTGACTGAGACAGAACACATTTTATTGAATCTTTTTTTTTTTATCATCCGGAGCATTATTGTAAGTTTTGGAATGAGTCAAGAAAGGGCCCCCATATCTCCTCAAATTTACCAGTTGAATGTTGGATAGAACATTTAATTTTTTCCAGTTTCAGACATGACATGATGTCACATAACCACTGTTTGTGAGTTGGAGGAGCCGCACCCTTCCACCTGGTCAGAACTGTGCGCCTCGCTAACAGTGAACAGAATGCCAGTACCTGCCGTTTAGAGGTTGGTAAAGGCGACCCCTCACCACTAAAACCAAACGGAGCCAGAAGAGCGCCAGGTGTTATCAGCACTCCCGCCAACCCGGACATTGTATGAAAAACATCTGTCCAGAAATGACCAAGAGGGGGCAGGACCAGTACATATGGACCAGTGTGGCTACAGCAGTTTTGCATTTATCGCAGTAAGGGGTGACTCCTGGATAGAAACACGATAGTTTATATTTGGAGAGGTGGGCTCTATGTACTATTTTAAACTGAACGAGGCAATGGTGTGCGCACACAGAGATGACGTAGTCACCAGTTTAAGTATAGAGTCCCATGTCTGATCCGGTATGGTCGTATTCAAGTCCTCTTCCCATGAGGCTTTAAGTTTAAGTGTGGAGGTCTCTTTCATTGTGAACATTTTGTTATAAAGCCATGAAACCAGCCCTTTATGAGTTGGGTTCAATGATAGGATGGTTTCCAACAGTGTATGCTCTGGCAGAGAGATTGAGCCTGACAAATGAGACTGAATAAAGTTTCTGGTTTGTAAATATCTAAAAAAAAAATGGGTTGTAGGTAAACCATATGTAGCGGACGGGATTTTACCGCCGCCTTGTAGGGGGATTAACTAACCCTAACCGTGGGGAGTACCGAACGGGACAGGATCTAGGTCCCCCACGCCCAATACCTAAAGGCCTCAATACTCCCGTTGTGGCAGCACATTTTGTCTTGGTAGCACACCTAGGCTTGGTAGAGTGGGCTTCAGTAAAGTACAGTAGCTGCCTGAAGGTGTATGTGGTGAGGTATGGTCCAGCACGTCCGTCACCACCCCACTACTATCCTAAGCCGGCTTCCCAAGTGAGGCGCCCCTACCCCCAGATTAGAGTAACCTGACTACAATTCAATTAAAGTCGGTAAAGAGAACACTACTAGCAGCTAGAGCTCACTTAAGTTGTACAATAACTAATTATATGACACATATATAGCACAAACAGTTAATAATACGAGGAAACTGGTTATAATAATCAAACTGTAATAAAGGAAAAAAATCAAAACGCTCTCGCACAGGTATAAGAATTCACCTCAGGCGATATGAATCAACTTATAACACAAAGAACCATCAAACCTTTTCTCAAACAGACATAAACATCTGCCCTGGCAGCTGGCAGTGGGCTGAGCAGCACACAGTAACGTGTAAGTGTGTGTACATGCAGCTGTGTGTGTGTGT